GCGGCTGTCAGTGGCCCACTGCTTTTCCCATCCCTGATTCTCAATCCTTGTCTTTGATCTTCTCCCCTATCTCTACATCAATCAATACCAATAAAAAACCCAGGGTGAGAAGTTTCTTAAGCACTGCTGCATGCCTGGCACTTTAGCAACTATTGTCTCGTTGGATCTTCTCAACAACTCTTGTAAGTGAGTGCTGTTGACAATACCCATTCAGATGAACAAACAGAGGCTCAGCTGGTTTAAGGTGCTCTCTAAAGGTCACTGAGCTGGGTTAATAATCAGTTCTGGGCCGGGCGTGGTGGCTCATGCCTGTAATCCCAGCACTTGGGGAGGCTGAGGCGGGCGGATCACTAGGTCAAGAGATTGAGGCCATTCTGGCTAACAAAATCAGCTGGGCGTGGTGGGCGGGCGCCTGTAATCCCAGCTACTTAGAAGTCTGAGGCAGGAGAATCGCTTGAACCCGGGAGGCGGGGGTTGCAGTGAGCCAGGATCGCACCATTGGACTCTAGCCCGGGGGACGGTGCAAGACTCCATCTCAAAAAAAAAAAAATCAGGCCGGGCGCGGTGGCTCAAGCCTGTAATCCCAGCACTTTGGGAGGCCGAGACGGGCGGATCATAAGGTCAGGAGATCGAGACCATACTGGCTAACACGGTGAAACCCCGTCTCTACTAAAATACAAAAAAAATTAGCCGGGCGAGGTGGCGGGCACCTGTACTCCCAGCTACTCGGGAGGCTGAGGCAGGAGAATGGCGTGAACCCGGGAGGCGGGGCTTGCAGTGAGCTGAGATCCGGCCACTGCACTCCAGCCTGGGCAACAGAGCCAGACTTCGTCTCAAAAAAAAAAAAAAAAAATCAGTTCTGTAGTCGCGTTGGGGAATACTAATACTAAATTGAGATTCAACCTGCAATTCAGACCTGTGCACCATGCACCTTGGTGGTCTCTGGAGATCTGAAATCCTGAAGGTGATAGTAAAGTAAACGGAGATTAAAACTCAATAGAGGCCGGGCACGGTGGCTCACGCCTGTAATCCCAACACTTTGGAAGGCCGAGGTGGGAGGATTACTTGACCCCAGGAGTTCAAGACCAGCCTGGGCAACAAAGGGAGACCATGTCACTACAGAAAAAAAATTAAAAACTAGCTGGGTATGGTGGTTCACACCTGTGCGTGTGGTGGTCCCAGTTACGTAGGATACTGAGGCAGGAGGATCACCTGAGCTGCGGAAGTTGAGGCTGCAGTGAGCCATGTTTGCACCACTGCATTCCAGCCTGGGTGACAGAGCAAGACCCTGTCTCAACAACAACAACAAAAAAGGCAGCCAGCTGTGGTGTGTCACGCCTATAATCCCGTCACCCCTCCCGGCTGCCTATAATCCCATCCCAGCCATTTGGGAGGCCAAGGCAAGAGAATCGCTTGAGGCCAGGTGCAGGAGTTCCAGGCCAGCCTGGGCAACAGCAATACCCTGGTTATATGGAAAAAAAAAAAATTAGCAAAGCATGGTGGTGTATGCCTGTGGTCTTAACTACTGGGGAGGCTGAGATGGGAGGATTGCTTGAGCCCAGGAGGTTGAGGCTGCAGTGAGCTGTGATCGTACCAGGGCAACAGAGGGAGAGTTCTGTCTAAAAAAAAAAAAAGGCCGGGCACGGTGGCTCACGCCTGTAATCCCAGCACCTTGGGAGCCCTAGGCAGGCAGATCACCTGAGGCCAGGAGTTCAAGACCAGCTTGCCCAACACAGCGAAACCCTGTCTCTTTTAAAAATACAAAAAAGGGAGGCCGAGGCAGGCGGATCACGAGGTCAGGATATCGAGACCATCCTGGCTAACACGGTGAAACCCCCGTCTCTACTAAAAATACAAAAAAATTAGCCAGGCATGGTGGCGGGGCCTGTAGTCCCAGCTACACGGGAGGCTGAGGCAGGAGAATCGCTTGAAGCTGGGAGGCGGAGGTTGCAGTGAGCCAAGATCGCGCCACTGCACTCCTACCTGGAGACAGAGCTAGACTCCATCTCAAAAAATTAAAAATAAAAATAAAAACAACTAAATAAATAGACTTAGCGGGGTCTGTGCTACCACCTGGACACATAAAACCTGGATGCTAAGAGGGAAGACATACTGTCTGGCTGCTGGGAGTGTTCTTCAGGACAGAACAAACCCAAGAAGGACAGAGGTGTGTGCAGTCCTCGACAGCCCCCTGCCCTCAGGGTTCAGTTCCCTCCTGCTTCTCCCTGTTCGCTCCCTGCCAAGCTTCCTGGGTCTCTCACATCTTCTTCTCCCAAGTCTCCACCCCCTGCCCCCCAAACCCCGTGCCTCCCCCCTACACCTCCTTCCCTGTTTCATCAAACCCCTGCCCCCTCTACCTCCAACTAATCTCCCCCAACCCCCCGTCTTCCCCCATCTTTGCCTTCCAGAATTCCGGGAAGTTTCCAACTGGAGGTTTTAATCTGAAAACTCCTCCTGTTCTTAAGCAGTTGGTCCTGGGGTGGCTGCTACAGGATCTGCGTTGGGGACCTTATCAGGATTGAGGCCCCAGCTCCGAAGCCCCAATCACGAATTTCGGGGTGCTCCTCCATGTTCCACTTTTTCCATTCCCTCGTGGGGAGCAAGGACAGTCCGAGGAGCTCTGACACAGCCCTGGCGGGAGCCCAGGCACACCCCTTGCCAGACCAGGGTGCCATTTCCCTGATGATGAGCTGAGCGGGATGTTACGGGGGGAGGGGGCTGGGACCATCTGCCTTGCGGCCCCACGCCTTCTCTGTGGCCGTACCCAGGGGCTTCTCACAACTGTCACGGCAGCATCCTCAAAGCTGGGCATGGGGGGTATGGGGACCTACACCCGCAAGAGCAAGAAGGCCTGGGGTGGAGAGGTGAAGTCAGTCCTGCCCACAGCAAGCCAGGAGATGTCGGGCAACCTGCCTGAGGAAAGGAAGGAGCCAGCAGGGGACACCTCCGGGAAAACAGGGGCCTCAGACAGGTGAGGGGCTGGAATTGGGGGGACACCCAGGTGGGCAAGGCCTGGGACAGAGGTACTGGGAAGAGGCCTGGACATGAGATGGGGGAAGGGTAGGGACTTAAGATGGGGGACCCATGCTGGGGAGGGTCTGGGGAGGGACGCCTTGGATGGGTAAGGGCCTGGGACAGGGCACCTGGTGGGGCAGGACAGGGAGATGTGGATGTGGCCAACGGACAGAAGCATCTGGTGGGGAGGAGGTTGGAGATGGGGGTTTGGGTTGGGGAGGAGGCAGAGATGGGGTCCTCCCACAAGTGAGGGGTTGTGGATGGGGGATACCAGACATAAAAGTGGACGGGCTAGGGAGTAGAAAGGGAATGTGCCAGGGCCCGGAGTGCAGGGGGTCCTATTGCTCTCAGCCCCTTCTGCAGGCCTGGCAGCCATCCCCTGTGAGGACAGGGACCCACCTCTCTCTCTGTTCCCCACCCGCGCATCACCCTACTTTCGAGAGCGATAATCCCCCTGTATGAGGAGAACCCCAGATGGCAGAGCAGAGGGTTGATGGGAGAGGAAGGCTGGAGAGGGCCGGCAGACCTGTGGGTGAGCCTTAGGGGAGGTTTAGGGGATCTCTGCCACACCTCTGAGCCCCACCTGCCTCCCTCACCTGACTGTGCTTTGGGATTAGGAGCCACTTTATCCAGATCCTGAAGTTGAAGGAATAATATCCAGAGAGTCTCAGGGTCCTGTGAGGTCAGCCCTGAGGCCTCCACCAGGGAGAAAGAGTATCTGCTTGAAGGTGAGTGTGGTAGCCATAGGCAGAGGGGAAGCGCCAGAAATGGACCCTCTTCTTGTAGAACAGCTCAGGGGTGCAGGGCCTGGCAGGACACGGGACACATTTGGAGGGACTGCTGGAGTCAGACTGCCTGGGTTCAAATGCCAGTTCTAACATGCTGAGCTGTGTGATGGGCGGCAGCTTATTCAACCTCTCTGCGTCTGTTTCCTCATCTTTAAAGTGGGAATATAATAGTACCTATCCTTGAAGGAAGTGCAAGGATGAACTGAGATACTCTGTAAAATGCCCAGAACGGTGTGTGGCACACAGTAGGCATTTGCTAAAGAAAACATGGCAACCCCACCCACAACTCAGCCCCCCCACCGTGTGCCTGCCCTCCGAGGCCTGGACCATCCCACTTGCGGCCAGCCTGTCAGGGACCACCACCCATTCACAGGAGACCTCGTGTTGGCCTCTTCCAAGGTGGAGGCTACTCCCTGGAACCACTTCCACAGTTTGTACAAGGAGCTTCAAAACTCGGCCATGGCCCAGGCCTGTGGGTGATGGGGGCGTGAGGCATGGGTTGGGGCCTTTCCCACATCAGGCTGGGCCCCAGAATATGTGGCCTGGGACTGGAAGGAGCAGTCCCCTTTCTTAACCTTTTGGGACATGTTCCCTCCTGCTTCCTGTCTTGCCTAGAGGTGGGGTGGGGCTGCAGGCCTGGGGTCCTGGGCTCCCTCACCTGCTCGGAGACCGGCTGGACTCCTCTCCAAAGAGGTTTGCCCAGTGAGGAGAAAAGCGAGGAAGAGAAAGTGAAGAAAGAGGACAGCTCATTCAAGCTCTGTGTCCCAGGCATTGTTGCCCTCCACTCGCCACTGTACAAGACTTTCAGATCCACAGACACAGTGCGTAAGGGCTTCCGCCCCTCCCCTCCCACGTGGCCCCAGGCCCAGGAAGCCTCACTTTGGCCGGTGGCTCAGGGGTGCAATACCAGCAGGTACCACCAGATGGTACCAGAGGACCTAAGATGACCACCTGAGCCCGGGGAGCAGTGTGTGGCTGGGCTGGAGGCCACACTAGGTGTAGCTAGGGTCTTCCTCGGGGTTTGAGGGGGTGGTACTACTCAAGCAGCACCCTTTCCCCCAGCCCAGAGGTTTCTAATGCCTTCAGTGGCTGCCTCCATCCCTGGTTTTCCCATCATGCACTGCTGTGACAGAGCTCCGGAGGGTCCTCTCTCCCAGTAGAGTCCCGGGCAGCCCAGACACGGACAGCAGTTGGGTTAGCGGTGATAGCATACATAATATGATGAAAATCGTGGTTCACATTTACATAGCCATTAATGGGGCAGACCCTCTTTAAGCACTTTTCATGAAATACTGCATTACGACTCTGAGGTAGGTCCTATTGCCACCTCCAGTTCACAGTGAGAACTTGTCCGATGTCACACAGCTAGTGATGGGCAGAGCTGGAATTTGAGTGCAGGCAGTTTGGGTTCCAGATCCAGGCTCTTGAGTCAGTTGGTGGTGGGGGCAGATACCTGCTCCTCACATGCTGTCCCCAGTGGGTGAAGACGCAGGCTCTCATGCTGCCGCTGCCGGAGGAGGCCCTCAAAGTGAGCTTCCTGGGGAAGGCAGGGCGAAGGAGGGGTGATGCCTGGCTGGCTCCACTCCTGGAATAAGAAAGGGCTGTGACTGAGGGTGAGCAGGAATCACACAGAGCTGGGATGAGGCTCAGGGGGCGGTTGCACTTCCGGGTCCTTGGGTTCCCAGCAGGCTGCTCCACCCTACTTCTGCCTGTCCTCTGCCATCTCCCTGTCCCCTGCCATTTCTCTGGCTCTCAGGTTTCCTGGAGTCGGAGTTGAAGAAGCTTCTGGGAATGCAGCAAGAGTCTCGCCTCTGGAAGCTAGGCAGCCAAGAGGGCTGAGAGCTGCTACCCAGCCAGAGATCACCCTGGTGGAGGCAGGCATTGTGGATGGCCAGGTACGCTTGGCCCGTGCCAGACCACCAGCCCCTGCTTGGAGAAGGTGGGGTTGGAGGCTTACCATCCCCTCCGCGCCCTGGGCCCTGGCTCCAGCCCCACTGCCTGGGTAGGGTAGGCATAATGCCTTCTTGGTGGTAGTATTTCTGAATTCAGGACCCTGGCCCCCTGAGTGAGTGCACGCAGCATGCACATAAACACACACACACACACACACATATACACACACACACTCTCTTCTCCATCAGTCTCTCTGTTTCTCACTTGACTCAGAGTCACAATGTCCATTTTTTTGGTCTCAACTTTGCCATTCATTTGCTGTGTGGCCTTGGGCAAGTCCCTTCCTCTTTCTGAGCCTCAGTTTCCTCATCTGTAACATGAGTGAATTTGTCTAGACAGGCTGTAAGTCTTTCCTGTGCATCTGTAATTCACACGATGCTGCTGTTTTTCTAATCTCTCTCCCATTCTCGTCCACTCCAAACACACATAGGCTCAGGGGAGTGACCCCACTGGGTCAGACGGAGTACCATCCTGTTGCTCCCCATCCTTGACATCGGCCTTTAAAGGTTAGACCTGTCTCAGCTTCTCTGAGTGCATGTTGATGGATCTGTTGAAAGTGTGTCGATGACCTTTTTGGTTAATTTCCATCCATTCATCATCTCATTCTTTTATTCAGTGGACATTTGCCCTGACAGTCTGTGTAGTTTACAAAAGGAAAGGGCATGGGGTTTGGAGGCCAGAGGTTTTAGTCTGGCATTAGCTTGTTCTGTGATGTTGAGTAGAGGCCTCAGTTTCTTTACCCGTGAAAGGGGACTGTTGCAAGGACCTCCTGAGATGATGCATGTGCAGCTGTAAGCTGCAAAGGCACTCCTTTGTGGGGGCTTAGCACAGTGTGATTCACTTTGGAGCAGTGCCTATCAGAAAGACTTGCCACCTGGGGCTGGGTGTGGTGGCTCATGTCTATAATCCCAGTGCTTTGGGAAGCTGAGGTGGGCGGATTGCTTGAGCTCAGGAGTTTGAGAAAAGCCTGGGCAACATGGCAAAACCTTGTCTCTACAAAAAATACAAAAATTAACCAGGCACGGTGGCGTGCACGTGTGGTCCCAGCTACTTGGGAGACTGAGGTGGGAGGATCACTTGAGCCCAGGCAGTTGAGGCTGCAGTGAGCTATGAGAATGCCACTGCACTCCAGCCTGGGCAACAGAGCGAGACCCTGTCTCAAACAAAAAGGAAAGCATGCCTGCTGGGCACTGAGAGGCATCCTTCTGATTGCCCCAAGCCCGCCTGCATGCCCATGTCACAGGAAGCCCGTGTGTCACCTCATCCACAGCCACATAGGCTGTCAGCACGTGGCAGAGCCCGTCACTTTGTCTTTTCACACCAAAGGGTTTGAATCTTGGGATCTGCCCTCACTGGTCCCTCCCCCTTCTTCCTGTCTCCTCCCCAGCCAGCCTGCCCTGTCCCAGGAGTCACAGTCCTGGGGTTGCCTGAGTAGTGCTGAGAGGCCTGGGTCATTTCTGGGTGGTGGCAAGTAAGGGCTCAGCCCAGTCCTCACTTTGGGGACAGTTGCCTTAAGAATATCTATCTCCAGTGGGTGTTTCAAAGGTCCTGTCCTCATCCCCATTCCTATCTCCCCTTGCTGCCCTCAGGGACACTGTGCTGAGGGGGAAGGAGGCTGCCCCCAGCCTTTGGGGAATGCTGGGCACCTAGGGAGGGGCACGGAGGCAGCAGCAGCGCCACCTTGGACTTGATGGGAGAGCACAGACCCCCCTTGGGGTGGGGTCCAGAGGTGAGGGAGGGGAGGGACTGGCTGCGGTGCTGACTCCTGGGGGTTCCAAGGACTCCCCCCCAAGTTGGAGGGAGAAGGAATTCTCCATTTTGTGGCAGGGAGGTGGCTCAGGGTTGGTGGAGCTGTGCCTGCCGAGGGGAAGTGGGAGAAAGGTGTCCTCGGGTGCTTGTCTCTTGGGGGCGGGGGAGAGGTTATGGGGTACAGAGAAGACTGAGGCATCTTTCTTCACCCACTTCTGTCCCCCAGTGCCTGCTTCTTGAGGAGGATGAGATGGGAAACTGGCCTCCTTAGTGAAGCCGGCGCTGGCCCCGAGTCTGCCCTGCCCAGATCTCCGGAGCTGGTACATGGGGGTATCTCTCTTCTTAGGGTACATCTAAGGAGCCCCTGTGACCAGCGGGTCTTGAGACAGTGTCCATGTGTCTGTAGGATGGGTCTGCCCCAAATTCTATTCCACCCAGCCAACTCGGGCCTGTGATGTTATTAATAAAAATCTACTTTGACTTTGGCCTCATTGTTAGCTGTTTTTGGACCCCGCCCCTCAATCTTCAACCCTGGAGCAAGCCCAGTCTATCTGAGGCCTTGATCTAGTCCCCAGTCTATGCCCAGGGGGCTGCTAGGGCTGCCCTGCTGCAGAGTGGAGGGGCTGCAGCAGGGCATCTGAGCAGAGAGGGCAGGAGGTCTGGCTGGCCTGACCTGGGGCTGGTGAAGGACCCAGGGCCCAGAGTGCCAGGGGACCCTGCCGTCCACAAGCCCTGCCCCTGTTAGGAGGGGTGCCCCTGACTTCCCTCCCTCCCTAAGTTCCCAGGCCTTGCCGTAGCCTCCTAGGGAGGATCCGGGAATTCTCTCGCAGGAAGTTCCTGCCCAGCCCGCCCAAGGACAAAGCCAGGAAAGAGGCCCTGGGACAGGGGATTTGCCTCGGGAGGGCCGGCCTGGGTAGGCCAGGGGTCCCTGGTGTCCAGTGTTGCCTAATCTCAAAAGTAAAGGTGGGCTTGGGGTGGGGTGCCTAATGACAGGCCCTTACTGGCCAGGGAAGGAGACCGACACACCTGGCTTCTCAGAGATGAGATGGGCAGCAGGGCCAGGCCTAGTTTGGACACCAGGAGGTGCTGTTCACCAGAAGGTCCTGCTGGCTTCCCTGTGGGGTCCCCCCTTCCTTCCTTTCTGCCTGGGTCCAGGCTCTGAGGCCCTTCAGCAGATGTATGAGAAAAAAAGCTCACTGTCCCCAACTCTTTTCAACATGACTGCTATCCATGGAAGCTTGTCTGATGGTCCCCATGGGTCCCCACGGTGTCTAGCCTGAGGCCTGTTGCAGAGCTGAAGTTCAATGTCAGAACATGATGGCCATTCTTAGTCATCGCTGTGATTGATAACCACAGCTGTTGGTTGGATGGCTGGCCCTGTGGCCACAGACTTAGCGTGGGGAGACAGAAACTGTAGCAGCTGGTCCCCTGCCCTGACCCAGGCCAGCCCAGTGAAGGTGGGAGTCCCCGCTTCTGTCCCCCAGCCTGCAGGGCGTGGGTGGAGCCTGGAGAGGGCTGAGGGCTTTCTCCTGGGCTTCCTGGCCAGATCGCATGGAGTCCTTGACTCAGACCCTGAGCTGGGGCTGGGTGGAAGGGCCCATCTGGACTGTCCCCTGAGTCAGCCAGGAGGCGGCCTTGTGACCAGATGACTCACCTGTGCCCTAATTGCCCTGTTAATCATTTCCTCCCAGAGTGTTCTCTGTTGGGAAGGGTGGGGCCTTGCAGGGCTTCCCTGGGAGCACCTGGATGCGGGAGGGAGGGGCAGAGGGGGGCAGAAACCTTGGCTCGGGGTGTGGGACCCTGGGCTGCTCACCGTTCCTCTCTGTTCCTCATTTTCCCTGTCTGTCCAGTGAGGCCCATGGCACCTTCTCGTCCGCTCCTGGGATTCCTCTGAACTGCAGGGGTCTGTGAGGCTGGGAAGTGTGGTGTGGTTTGCTGGTGCTGTCCCTGGAGCAGTAGGGGGTCTGTGTGCTGGAACAGGCCTGAGGGCCTCTTCCCAACCACACAGCATCCTGGGCTGGTTTCTTTGGAAGGGCTTGGCTTGACATTTCTGCGTGGTGAAGGCAGAGGTGACCCAAGGACCTGATGTGGGGGAAGGCCCCGTGGGTGAGTGCACAGGGCTGGGCTCCGGTCAAGGCCAGAATGGTAAGAGCCCAAGCGTTCCTGAAAGGCCTCAGAGAACACAGCAGGGGCAGGCCGGTGGGGTGGGCCCGAGGACTGGGGAGCATTGCAGCATTGCCTTCTCCCCCTGGCATAGAGATATCTGGGGACGGCTTCCACGGACCCTCCTGCAGCAGCACACTCACTCGGCGGAAGGGCCAGCGGGACTGAAGCCCAGCCCATCGCACTCCCTCGCCAGGCCCTGGGAGGGGTAGCATTCCCCTGGAAGGTGCCTTTCCTAACTTGCTCAAAAGGGGCAATGGGCTGGCAGTGGCCCTGATTGCATCCATGAGGTTTGGAGCGTTGCAAAGGGACTTGCCAAGTCTGTCACTCTCCTGGTCTCTCTCTGTTGGTATGTAAGTGTGTCTCTGTGTGTGTGTTTCTGCCTCTGTCCCTGTCTCCCCACGTCTCCCTGTGTCTCTGTCTCTCTCACTGTATCTCAGGTGGGATGAAGGCAAAAGCAGAGGCACCCAGGTCCATTCTGAGAGAGTTTAGGGACTCAGTGGTGGCTGAAAAGAAGGCAGTGGGTTGGGTCATTTAGGAGCTGGGGGTCAGGGTGGGTGGCCCCAGGAAAATGTGGGCAGGGCCAAAGGTGGGCCTGCCCACCTCAGGAGACTGTATGATCCCCCTCCTGTGGCCCCCTGGCCAAGACCTCCCAGGGAGATGGTGCCTCAGGCCCTGTCTGGGGTCACTGGGTGTCAGCCTTGCCTATACTAGGGTGAAGTGAAGGCAAAACCAGATATTTTGTCCCCCTTCTCAACTAGGAGATGAGCTGGAAAGCAGAGAGGCAGAGGGGAAGAGACTCACCTGGGTTGAAACCCGGCTCCCACTACAGCAAGCTCATATGACGGTGGACAAGTCTCATATCTCTCTGAATCTCAGTCTCCACATCTATGCAATGGGTGAATCATAGGCTTCTCGTGAGCTGAATGAAGAGCTGCTTGGCTCATAGAAGATTCTCAAAGAATCCACGGGGCCAGGCACAGTGGCTTACGCCTGCAATCCAGCACTTTGGGGGGCCATGGCAGGTGGATCACCTGAGGTCAGGAGTTCAAGACCCGCCTAGTCAAAATGATGAAACCCCATCTCTACTAAAAATGCAAATAAATTAACTGGGCATGGTGGTGGGCGCCTGTAATCCCAGCTACTCGGGAGGCTGAGGCAGGAGAATCACTTGAACCTGGGAGGCGGAGGTTGCAGTGAGCCGAGATCGTGCCATTGCACTCCAACCTGGGCGACAAAAGTCAAACTCCGTCTAAAAAAAAAAGAATCCATAGAACCATTTTTATGAAGCATCTACTACATGCTAGTCCTGTTCCAGGCAATGGGGAATAGAGCAGTGAACAAGACATACACAACCTCCACTTTGGGGGCTTACATTATTGCTAGTGAGACAAACAATAAACAGATATGCCAGGGTGACAGGTGCTATGAAGAAAGCTGAGACTGGATAGTGGGGGGGGGGGGATATCACAGAGGGATGGGGAGGCCTTGCTGAGGAGGTCGTGTGCTGGAAGCCAGGGAGGGAGCCATCCGGAGGAAGGGCAGCCGCAGGCACAGCAAGTGCGTCGCCCTGAGGAGGGAGCAGGCCTGGTGGGTTTGAGGAAAGGGATCCGTGCAGCTGGAAGGGCGTAAGTGGGAGGCAGTGGAACAGGAGGTGAGGTCAGAAAGGATGTGTGGAGATGATGTGCTTTGCTGATCAGGGGTTTAGAGGTTTGTTTCTCTCTCTTTTTTTCTCTGTCGCTCGGGCTGGAGTGCAGTGGCGCGATGACAGCTCACTGCAGCCTCCACTCCTGGGCTCAATTGATCCTCCCGCCTCAGCGAGGACCGCAGGCGGGCGCACCAGGCTTGGGATTCTCGGATCCAGTGTGGAGAGATGTCATGTGCATTTTTAAAGCTCCCTGGGCTGCCGAGGAGGGAAGGCTGTAGGGGGCGGGGCCTGAAACAGGGAGGCAGGTTCCCAGGCTGCCGCAGACGTGGGGCGGGGTCGTCTGGCTGTGACTTACTACAGAGGTTGTGAGGGGGAACCAGGGGGTACTTACCACTAGGGGGAGCGCCTTGGCCAACACCTCTGCTCAGTGGGGAGCCAGGCCCGGCCCCAGGTGGTACCTCCCCCTTGCCCCACATGAGGGACTTGCGGGGGACTTTGTCTTCATCATCCGCAGGGTGGAGCGGGGTGGCCTGGGACCTGGAGTCCAGGAAGAGTCGAAGGCCTGTGGGCGGCCGAGGACACGCGTGGGCGCCTGCCGGGGGAGGGCGGAACCAGGAGGTTGGCACCGCAGTGCCTGTGTGCACCGAAGCGCAGCAAACACGTCTCGGCCGAGACTGCCCGGCCACCCCAGGCTCCAGCGGAGCGTGCGTACTTGGGCAGTCGCGCGCATCTGAGAACCGCCGAACCGTGCCACATTTCCGTTCCTTCTGGCCTCGCCCTCAGGGGTCGACCGGCGGCAGAGCGCGGCGCCTCCTGTGCTGAAGAAAGCTCCCTGGCCTCCAGAAACTCAGTCAGTGGTGGGAGGGCCGGAACAGACCCGCGCAGTTAACCAGATAATGATGTTGCTGTAGTATAGCTTGGAGAGTGCAGAGAAGGAAGCAAGCAATGCCAGCAAGGAGGAATCCAGAAGGCTTCCAGGAGAAGTCACCATTTGTGATTTGGGCTCGCATCAGGAGGAGGAAGTTGACAGGTGAAATAAGGGGAGGGCATGCCTGCCAGGCAAACAGTCTGTGATTGGGAAGAGTCCAGTCTGCACCATGACCCCACTTTCTACCTTCCTGACCAAGTAGGAACCATTTGGACTCCTCTATTGTCTCTCGCCTTGCCTTTGTGTTGCCGTCCATCTTAATTTTATTTTATTTATTTTAATTGAGACTTGGTATGATCCCTCTCTTGGTGCCCAGGCCTGAACAGTGCAGCTGGGCCTCGATGGCCTCGTGCGGCGCCGCTCATAGCAACCTCCTCGCCTTTCTGAGCTTCACATGGGCGATTCTCGCCGTCCTTAGCCTCCCCGACGGTGAGTTGCGAACTTTAGCGACGGTGGCCCCGCCCCCGCTCGCTCGGCTACATTTGTTTTTGACGCGACCGCATTCTCACTCTTGCATGCTGCAGTGCAGTGGCGCTTTTTCGGAGCTTCACTGCAACCTCTGCTCCAGGTGTCAAGCAATTCCTCCTGCCTAAGCTCCCTGAGTAGCCTGGCTACGGGTACGCAGCCACCCACCACGCACCACACCTCCAGTTACATTCTTTTTCGCTATTTTTTTTTTTTTAGTAGAGACGGGGTTTCACCATGTTGGCAGAATGGGTCTCACTCTCTCTCGACCTCGTGATCCGCCCATCCTCCGCGCCTCTCACCACCAGAGTTCGTTGGATTACACGGTGGCGCAGCCACCACACCGGCCGCTCCGTTTATTTTTTTTTTTTTTTGAGATCTCGCACTGTGTCGCCACAGATGCAGTGCAGTGGTGCAACCTCTTCGGCTCACTTGCAAGCTCTGCCTCCCCGGTGTTCACGTACAGTTCTTCGTCCTGCCTTCAGACGTGCTCTCTGAAGGATGCCACGCTAGCCTGGTGACTGTGCCACACTGGTGCCCACAGGTGCCCAGCCGCACCAGTGCCCACCATCATGCCTGCCTAATTTTTTGTATTATTAGTAGAGAACAGGATTTCAACTGTGTTACCACATCGGCC